AAATCCTTCGCGCGAAGGATTTAATGTAAAGAATATTGGAATAAACCAAGAATATATACGCACCAAGAACTACGTGGGACTCTTAACTGCCTTTGTCATCTGTTTAATATTTGTTAATTAAAGAGTCATTATCGTTTACATATTGATATTAAATTATATTGCATAAATTTGATTTTGTTTTGTAATTTACATTTTCAATTAATGGTCTTAAATTCTTGGCCGGAAATGTATATTGATTCAACATTTTTATTTACTCCTCTTAATGAGCACTATATATTCTAAAGTTTTAAACACTTTTTAATATCGTATTTTAATACCCTATACATACTGCATGTATAACATAAATTATTCTTATATCGTTCAAAACTGCGTAGAGTATGCGCACTGTACGGTAAATACTACGTCAAAATTGATGCTATTAATAACGATATGTGTTGTTTACGAAATTCTGTGTTAGTGGTAGAGAATCGGTCAATAAGCTTCATATGACGACGTAAAATTAAGGAATTTTATCACTAACGAATTTTCTTTTCCATTATTTTTTTATTTCTTCATTTTTTTTCTCCGCTTTTCTCCAAGAATATGAATAAGATCATCCGATTTCAATGCAGAAGACAATGTCAAATTTAATACTGGTACAATTACAAAATTCAATATACTTATTATGGAATTATATGACTTTTATTTTAAATGAATTTAGTGTTATTTTCTATATCCATGTAAATTAGGAATTAGTGCGTCAACAATTTTAAACAATATTATATACGCTCTATTACATTGTTAACAATATAATAGAGTGTAAGATATGCCTTGTTGATATTGTAAGATAAGAGATAAGTAGATAGTTCTCTTATCTTACAATATTAACTTACGATTAATATAAAACATTTTCGAAAAAAAAATTATATATTTTATGTTTTTTTAACTTTGCGAATTATTGTTATAGTTATGATTCAGAAGCAGAAATGAAGCAAATTGGAGCAAAAACAAACTTATTAATATATTATTGTGTTAATGTTAAATACCTTGATTAAAAATTAAATATGAAATGATATATGCACTTATGTGCACTTTGTATATAGATATGACAAAATAATACGTACGTTTAATATATAATATTAATATATATATAAAATACATAAAGTTTGATAAGATAAAAGTCAATAATCAAAATTTACATTCAGCCATATTAAGATTTTACATTTTTCTTGATGAGAATTCAATTGCTTCTTATCGCATTCCTTCAATAGAAACTTAAAGTATAACTAATATAATATCATAATTTTCGATATCTTAATTGTACTTTTTTTTATTATACAGACAACGTGACGACTTAAAATTAATAAAAAGAATCATTTCTTATCTACTTTTAATTTATTTATAGTTTAATTTAAAATACACATACGTACAAACATATTAAATCTATTTTTTTTCTTCTCCCTCCCTCCCTCCCTCCGTCTCCTCCCTCTTTCTTTCTCTCAATAAATGATTTTCTAATTCCGAGAACTTGATTTAAAATTGTATTGGAGAATTTGTACTTTGGTAAGAATGGACGATCTGATAACTGATTCTCTTAACAGGTTGTTCTATAAATAAGCAAAGTGTTGCTATATCCTCCTATTATATATCGATGATGTCGAAGACAGTTAGATTTAATACGTGAACATTCAATCGCGCATACAAAACAACCATTGCCTTAACTGATGAGTCAGAATTAGATTCACAAACACGATGAGTAATACGACGTTTGATGTATATCTACAGAGAACAAATATACAGTAAAGTCGAATAGTGAAATAAGTGGAAAAAGAGTCGAAATAGAAATCGAGAAATTAAAAAACTTAATATTGAAATTTATTAAAGTAAATATGTAAATTTTTGCATTTTTCAGATATATTAAATAATAAATATAATTATGATTTTCAAGTTTCTTTATTATAAGATATTTTTCACAGCCTATACGAAAGTTTATCATGTCAATGCAGCATAACCTAATTAAAATACCATATTATAATTTTGAGAAACATCCATTATTTTACTAAAAATTTCTGCCTTTTGCCTTTTTTATCTTGAGTCATATCAAATATTCAGTATTCAGATCATATCGAGATTACTTTGAATTTTTTAAAAAATTTTCTGTTATTTTTATTTTGTAGTCAATACCGAAATGTTTTTAAAATGATATAATTACATCTCTTTTCCTTTAAGAATTATTATTACAATGTGAGTCATAGAAATTAAATATACAGAGTGTCCCCGTATAAATGGCCACCCCCTTTTTATCTCGTAAACTAACAGAGATAAACTTAATAAACATAATATCAAATTAAACGGCTCTGACTAAACTTTGTTGTAAGCACAGTGATCACTTAGAAATATTATCTATGTTAGAGAGAGGAAAGACATAATTAATTTTTGTACAGTAAAGTGACAATTTTAATATGATAAAAGTTGTAGCGTTTTTTTTAACGAATACAACGATGTATGATATAACGAAATTATCTTACGAATTATAAGTTATTTTAGTTTAAAGTTTTGTGGGCGGCTATGTACTACCTTTTCAATTTTGATCCTGCGATGTGACCAACTTCCGATTTTGGCATTGACAAGAGTACTATAATCAGATGAAAATATCACGTCAATCGTCAACGCAAAAGTCGGAAGTTAGCCATAGCATAGTCGCCCGCAAAAACTTAAAACCAAAGTAATTTGTATAATTTATAAGATAATGTCGTTATGTCACTTATCGTTGTATTTGTTAAAAGAAAGCTACAACTTTTATCTATTAAAATTGTCACTTTGCATTGCAAAAATTATGCATGTTTCTCCGCTCTCTAACATAGATAATAATAAGAATGTTTCTATAAGTGATCACTGTGTTTACAATAAAGTTTAGTCAGAACCGTTTAATTTGATATTATATTTATTAGGTCCATCTCTCTTAGTTTACGAGATAAAAAGGGGTGGCTATTTATATACCGGAACACCCTGTATATAAACATATAAATAAAAATTAAATTGTATAGTCTTTTTAAATAAATATATGAATTATGAAGGAAATGCATTAAAAAATATATATATACGTCTACATAAATGTTTCATACACAACGGAAAATAATATAACAAATTTTTTACAGCGTATTTCTTAAAGAATATTAACATCATCGATATTGCATTATCTAAACTATCCCATATATATGGAGGCTGCTCAATCTGATTTAAATTTATGCAGTACATACACGCATATACAGGGTGAGACACTTATAGGCCACCTAAATAATTTCCGAATGATTCGAGATATTGGATTGAAATTTATAGGATTACAATAGTATCATGAAATCTATTATTTAACCTTGAAAACACCTTTCAACTCGCCAGGGAGGGGAGAAGGGGAGGTTGAAAATCTTAAATGGCATGTTGGGTCGAGTGAGGGCTCGTTTAAAAGGGCTTTTCGAGACGAGAAAAACGCAAGATTGTTGAGGCCTCTATGATTTTTTCTCGCAATTATGCATTTGAACATTGGTGTTATTTAGCGTTAGTGAGAACGTGAAGAAGATAAGGTTTCGCGCATATTCCTCACACATCCACACGCTCTTTCACATGCACTTCCATCCACTCTGCAGGGGCCTCACTAGCGTTAAATAACACCAATGTTCAAATGAGCATAACTGCGGAAAAAATCGTAGAGAGCTCAACAACCTCGCGTTTTTCTCGTCTCGAGAAACCTTTTCAAACGAACCCTCACTCGACGCACATACACGGAGAGAATTTTCTTTTAAAATTTATCCTGAAAATCATGTTAATTGTGAGACAATATAGTATTTAGGTAAATTTTACTGTGCACTACAATAAATTTTATTGC